CAAGTATGCTGCAATTGGTAAGAACGTGATTCCAAAAACCATTTGAACCAAACCATTGAAAAATTTGCAAGCTAAATTCCAAATCTAAAGATCTAAGCGCCATTGTAAAGATGGTGGGACACCACTTTTAAAAAATATAACAGGGCAGACTAAGTTAGAAATTTAATTAATCCCTCTTTTAGCAATTGTTAATCGATCAAAAAAATCGGTTGGAATTTTCGCAATTTCAGCTCGTCAACAACTACCGTATAGACGAGAAAATCACCGCCTATCTTAATTTGTTGGATATTTACGTGTTTCCTGTATTGAATCCGGATGGTTTCGTGTTTTCACGTTCCTCGAGGACGTCTGTGGTATGTTTATGTCTGTTCACAAATTCATTTATGGCTCTTCTACTGGTTGATTTTTGATTGACGGTATCAATTGGTAGCAGTAAATAAGGTTGAGTCAATATGACCAGCTACAGGAGCACATGCATGTGATTTCTAGGATACTTGACGTTACCGTTTTTAGGATATTTGCAAAATTCTGTGTGCAAGATTTTTCAGAAATTTTCAGTTGTTCCATTTATCTGAGAATGAGATGCGATACGTAAAGTTGAATCAAAAACTACCAATTCTGATTATTGATTTATGTATGATTTAAAGAACGCAATTAGTTTTCTGTACCCAAAGGTTGTTACTGCGGTAATGAGGTTAGACTAACCTAGGTGGGTTCAACCTTATGATGGCTATAATTAAAGACGGAAAGCATAAGAAAAGGTACAAAGAGCAAGAATGAAAGTCTTACGAAGCTTTTTGTACCTTTCTTTGGCACAGCCGCAATAGTTTAAGTAAGCAAAGAATGAAAACCCGTTTTCATGGCTAGTTTTATGGCAAAGTGGAGTGATTTATTTTAAGAGGAAAGGAAAAACTAGTATCTTAAACAGATTGTTAGATTCTCAAAGGGGTGACCTAGAAACCAAGTGTAAATAATGATCATACCTTATTACTATACTTTATTACAGATCCGCCAATGGCGCAAAAATCGCGCGCCATCAAACTGCTCTGGCTGGACTGTGTTTGCCAAAGATGTCTGCTGCGAAGGTGTAGATCTAAACAGAAACTACGATCTCGGGTAATTATCATTAATAATGGGAATTACTGCAAAAATCTAAAACGTACGGAAACTATATCATTATTACCAAAGTGCTGGGACAAATGAGCACTAATATTTTTCCCGAAGGAACAAGCTCGTGCTTTTAATCCACAATTGCCTAAAAAAATAGATAAATCCTATATTATAATTTATTCTAATCACTAGAATAATTTCTATTTTGCTTTTCATCACTTTAAGGACAACACTTGCTGGTGTGCTGCGCTTTGGGTATTCT